AAAAGAAGAAGAAAGATAGCCGTGCCTATCATCTCAAGGGGCCTTGTCCCACTAGCATCGATTTACTCTTCGGAGCCAGGGTTTTCGACGACGTGCAGCCAGAGGTGACATCCGGCAACCGTTGCTCCTTTTGTGTAGCTTCGGCGCATGGCGATGAGGACCGAATTCGTAATGGGGAAAGTCCGCCGGCCAATAGAAGAGTTTCGTTTACAATTTTTTTGCCATTTAGGTAGCCACTTTGCGTTGGCGCGAAGCTGCAATATTAGGGAGGTCGGAGGGGGGGGGCGTTTTTGCATCGATGTTGTTTTCTTTTTTTTTGTGGAAAAATAGAGAATATTGAGATTTCGGTGGAAGACTGCGAACAGGCCGGCGGGAAGGTCGCATGCAGATGTGACGGGTTGGTGGAAGTGTGGATGCACTGAAGTTCTGTCATGATGTCGATGTTAGGCCCCATAATTTTTTGTTTTTGGGTCCTTTTCTTTGCATTCCTGTAAATGAAAAATAGCATTGTTTATGCTCTTTTAAATAAGGAAAAGCTGCCACACACCGATTTAATCTATGCTAGTGGGACGAGGCCCCAGGGCCGAGATGTCTCGGCCACACCCCAGATTGGCCAGGGCCGAGATGTCTCGGCCACAGCGGAGATTAAACCAACACTACCCTTCACAGCCAAACGTGAAGTCTCAAGAGTAGCCTACTCCGGCGATGTGGGGGGCCCTGGACAGGGATGGAGGCCAAAAGAGAGAAAAAAAGAAAAAGAAGAAAAAGAAACGTAAAGCAAGGAGGAACTTCGATTCAACCTACGTCGGGAAGGCCCTCACGTCACCAGTGCTTTGAGGAATGTATCTGGCCCGGACTTGAGGAACATGAAACAGGTCGTTTTCCTTTTTTGTTTGTGTTGTGAGGTCCTTGTAGCGCCCTGCCAGCCAGGCAGGGCGGATTCCACGCGAGGCAGCTAACTGCCTCCCTTCCTTCAGTTCCAGACAAGTACTGTAGCATCCTGTATCGGACCCCAATCACCGCATAAGGGATGCTTTTTTTTTTCTTTTTTCTTCTATCTCCTGTTCGTGGATAGACGGGCCCTGACTGAGGCCACCTGGCTGACTGAAGCGCAGTTCCAAACTCCGTGCTCGACTTTTCTGCATACGCTGAGTTTGGACTGCATAGCAAACTCTGCACGGGACTCCAAATGCTTTTAGGAACTGCTTTCGTGACTGCGCCCTAGTTACCCCAAAAAAAAAACAAAAAACAACGGAGACACCCTGCCATGCCGTTATGGAAGCA